TAGCCAAGGAGCCAGCCATTGGGACTGTTTAAATCCAGAATTGCAGAAAAAGTGCCTAACTTTGAACGACGACAGGAAATGCCCAAAGGATGTGAAGAAATTTTGAATGCCATTGGCATGCAATAAATGGAGGCTTTGTCATTTCTTTGTTTGTTAGCTCTCTAACAAAGAATGAACTCTTATTTGTTATAGAATTCCATGAATTTCGTTCGCAATGCTGGGAAAAAATTAATTTGCTAAACGCTTTTGATTTTAAGATTGGAGATTTTTGATTTTTTAAAAAGAGTTGGTTATTGAAATTGGTTTGAATTCTACAGAAGGACTTCTGATTAAAAAGTACATGTTGGAGGGATGCATCCATAGGAGTTCTTCTCTCTATTGAAGACCTATAGGAGGATTTCTATCCATTGAAAACCGATAGGAACTTTTATAGAAGACCGAGAGGAGGTCGTCTGTCTATAGAAGCCCGATGAGAGCACTTCTGTCTATAGAGGTCTTCTCTCTATTGAAGACCCATAGGAGGATTTCTATCCATTGAAAACCGATAGGAACTCTTATAGAAGATCGATAGGAGGTCTTCTGTCTATAGAAGCCCGATAGGAGCACTTCTGTCTATAGAGGTCTTCTGTCTATAGAAGACCGGAAGAAAGTCTTCTGTCTACAGGATACCAATCAGAGGTTTTTTGTCTATATGAGCCTATAGGAGATCTTCTGTCTAGTGGAGCCGATATGATATCTTCTGCCTATAGAAAGCAGATGGGAAGTTTGCTGTCTAAAGGATACTGATTAGAGGTTTTTTGTCTATAGAAGACCAATCGCACGTCTTTTGTCTGCCTATAGAAGACCGGTGGAAGATCTTCTATCTATTGAAGACTCATAGGAGGTCTTCCGTCCATAAAAGGCCGATAGGATGTATTATATGTATTAAAGGCCTATATGAAGTATTTTCCTTATAGAAGTCCTCCACAGGTCTTCCGTCAATAGTAGACCCATAGGATGGCATCTATCTTCAGAAGACTCAGAAGAGAAAGATGTACTTCCTGCTGTCTATAGAAGACGGATAGGGGTATTCTATCTATAGAAGGACTTTAATATATTAATAGACCTGAGGACTATTTTCTACCTAAAGACCTTTGGAAGGTCTGCTTATATGGAAGACCTGTGGAAGGTTTGCAGTATGTTTGTTAACGGAATTATTTCCACAAAAGACCCTTGTAACGCCTCCTATCTATAAAAGATCTGATAAGACATTTCACCTAAAAGAGGACTTGGGAAAGGCATCCTCTGTATGAGAGGTCTTTGAAAGAACTCCTGTGTATGGAAAATCTGTTGAAGATCTATAAAATACCTGTGAACAACATTTATCTACAAACTAAGTACGGCATTCTTCCTTATGAATATGCTTAGAAAACATCTTCAATTTAAAGCCCCTCTATAAAGTGTTATATCCATAGAAGACCTTTAGAATGTATTCTATATCATCTCCATATTCGTGACGTTTTTGACTATTTCGAATTCAAAAGTATGTTTTTTCTACTTGACTTCGGAAACCTTTTATACAATTATGATTCATAATTAAGACCCTCCTCTATAGCATTTTAACCTATTTCTAAATTACGCTGAACTTATGTGCCCTTTGGCTCTGTTCTTATTCCACCTCACTTCCATTTACAAAAAATATATAACAACTTTTCCCACCTTTTACGTCCACATCTTAACTGCAAGCCAACCCAAAGGCCCCCCAGGTCAATTTTAAATGTTCGTCCTTTGTCCATCCATGTTTGACCACATTCATTGCTCCAACCAGCCAGTCAACCAACCCAACCATCCAATAATGATCGTCGTTATAACATTTGTCGACTACGGCACGATCCACAAATGATCTATAAGGCGGCACTAAAAACTAAGATGACGATTCCTCAATTATAAATCGTGCCACATAACATACGGACACAACACACAACTACATACATATCTATCTATGTACACATGTACGGCAATATGACGATGATTTTAAGCTACTGCAGTCAAAGTTTACAATAAATGCAAAAAAATAGGTTCACAGACTTGAATCGGCAGCAGCGGCAAGGCCCCAATGTCTAACGACGATAACAGTCGTCGCATGTGTTTTGTTGACTGACTGTAAGGCAATCGGCAATAACAACACCGTGTGCCGGCAACACAGTACCAACAACATCGTCATCGTCACCCAGAAAGCCTGTCTTAATAGCCTCAACAACAGCCCCAAAACGGAGCAATAAAACTCGACAACAGTAACGACAACAACAAAAACAACAATCGCACACTAACTCACACAAGATCCATTTATCGCTATACTGGATGTAAGGCATGTGCTTGGCGGCGGCCTCTATATATTCAGCCTTTTTTATTTCGCGTATATCAGTTTTGTGTGTCGTTTTGTTTTATTACAGCATTGGGTGAGGGTATTGGGAAGGGTCGTGTGTTGCAATAAGGGATTTTTGGTAAGATAATTATTGTGTTAACACAGTTTATTTCCTCCGAGGAAGTGCAGGGAAAGTCAGATTTATCGTTCTGGGCATAAGTTGTCGCCCTTATTTCTCTGGTTCATTGCGGAGAGTTTCCGCCTGGGGCACACAGGCAACTGCTTAATTTTTTAAGCGCTGAACAGTCGAAATCGCTTTTAAGGACAGTTTGGGACCGGCGAAATTCGTCGCTATAAGCGTTATGTCGTTATAAAAAACATAAAATATAGAACATAACTGTTCTAGGGAATTTTGGATACAGTATTTTTAACCATATGTCGTTATAAACGATTTCGAATGTATTCGTTCACTTTTTCCAAAACTTTATAGCCCCTTGACTTCTCCGACATTCTAAGACTGCTATTTTGGTCTTTCTATCAAGTAAAAACTCGGAATCTGCGTTTGAGTTCCCGATTGTTTTGGTAAGTTGGGTCGAGATTGCTCTTTCCCGATGATTATTAAACTCAGATCCATTCTACGAGTACCAAGTCACCCACACGACTTGTGGGCAGATCAACGGCACCCGCCGGTTCTGAGTTATTAAATTGTGCACAGTTACGCTATTCTCCTTTCTACCTTCCATGTTTGTTTTTTAGGGTCAAACATTTGGTCCGAAAACCAAGTAATTTTTTAATTTGGTGCTATGGTTGGACATTTCAGTCCATTTTCATGGAAATAATTTAAGAGCATTCCATTTAAATTTTCAATGTTATATGGTATAATGATTTAATACGTCGATCAGATCGATATCAAGAAATCTCTGCCCTTCCATTTTCTCTGCAAATAATCTGCATAGCCAATGAGACCAACGCTAAATATATCATTGGCGCATATAGGGCAACATTTACTTCTTGGGTTACTTACGACACACTTGTTTTGATCGATCTGCAATTGAAAGCCGCCGTTGTGTCGAATTCTAGACCTTCTAAGGACCCTTCTGACTCTATCATATCAATATGCACACTATATGATAGAGTCAGAAGGGTCCTAAGAAGATCTTAGACCGCTTATCAGGTCAACAGTTTCTTTGTCACATTTTGAAGCTGCATTTTTAGGCGTGGGCCATATCTTCCCGAAGGAGGTAATTTCCGCAATAGGAATTGACTATCTTCCGGAACTGTTTCCATCGCCTAGACCTCTCGCTTCTCAGGGGAAAATCCTATATTCGAGAATAATAATGAAAGGAACTTCATCTGAACATTAAAATCTGTTGCCATCGGCGATGCTTTTTTAGGTTAGAATCCTTAATATTTCTCTTAATATCTACAATTTCTTAGAAAATCCTATCACTAGAAAAGCAAACGATTCGCTGATCTATAATTTGCCATTTTTTATTAACGCCACACTTTTGGCACTCGTCGCACTATAAAATAAACCGGAACCCATCCTAATAGTTGACCTCGTGCTGTAACACGAGCAACGGCCAAATAAAAAAAGGAACAACAAACTGCAAAGACCCCAATCGTACAGTCATGCTGGCGGCGGCTTTAAGACACTACTTATAGCCCAGCCACCACACAAGCCAAGAAATTGACTGACCGACTGAACGACAGACTAACTGTCAGACAAATAATAACAATAATAACAGCAACAACAGTATTATGGGGACGAAGACGTCGACAACGGCAAACGAAGACTATAAGAAATAATCAAGTACGGCAGTTAGGCAGGCAGCCAGCCACAGCCATGCCATCCAGCTATCCAGTCAAACAACAACAACACCACAAGACATAGCGCAATCTAAACCATTCAAGCAACCATCCAATAAGCCAGTCAGCCAAGCAGGCAGGCAGTCAGCTAGTCGTGAGAAATCGACTACAGAATAGTTTCCCACGGTATAACAATCACAACTTAAGTCTTGACTTGTATAGCCGTTGGAGGGAGGTGGGGTATGGCTGGCTGACTGACTGGATGGTCGTTTGTATTGTTGTGCATGTTTGTATGTTTATGAATGCATGTGTTGTTGTTGTAGTCGTTGTTGATTTTCTTTTATGTTGAATTTTTCGTGGTGGAGTGGAGTGAGTTTGTGTAGCTGTGGATGGATGTCGTCGTCGTAGTAGTGGTGGTGGTAGTGATAAAAATATTCTCTGCGTGCGGGCACAAGGGGTATGACGTAAATTCACAGGCTGCCGCAAGGCAAGGCCAGGAGAGCATGGTCTGTCGGTCGGTACGCTGTATCTGTGTGAGCGTGTATCTGTGTGTTTGGCAAATACGCACACAATGTCTCGTTCTCGCCTGCCTGGCCTGCATGGGAAGTACTCAACTTTGATCGCAGCACTCACTCAGCCCAGCGTTTCTTATAAAAAGGCCGGTGAGAAAAGTTTGTGAATCATTTCAAAGTTAACCAACAAAGTGAACACATCGCTCCTCAACCAAAGTGAAAACATCGCTTCTTGGATATTGTGAACATCAAATTTATCACAGAGAAAAATATTATCATCACCAACAATATCAATCAACCTGTGGATTATTATTGCAAAAAATCAACAAATTGGAATTTATTAATACCACCCCCAACAACAAAAACATGGTCTTAGAAATGGAAATGTCCAAAACCTATCAATACCGCAAGGTCATGAAACCCATGTTGGAACGCAAACGTCGTGCCCGCATCAACAAGTGCCTCGACGAACTCAAGGATATCATGGTCGAATGCCTGACCCAAGAGGGTGAACATATTACCCGTTTGGAGAAAGCCGATATCTTGGAATTAACTGTAGAACACATGAAGAAATTGAGGGCCCAAAAGCAATTGCGCCTCAATGGCAACCAGGATACCAAACTGACCATTGCTGAAAGTTTCCGTGCTGGTTATATTCATGCCGCCAATGAGGTGTCCAAAACATTGGCCACAGTTCCCGGTGTCAGTGTGGATTTGGGTACCCAATTGATGAGCCATTTGGGTCATCGTCTGAACTATTTGCAAGTTATTGTACCCACTGCCGTGGCTCCTTTGGGAGTTGTACCCAATGCAACAGCAATCCATCCTTCTTCGTCCAGCAGTCATTTCCAATCGATGGTAGCCGCTGGACAAACTCAATTGTCCGCCAACTCTTCATTGTGTGGCAGTCCAGAACCTCCAGTATTGATTACACCACCACCATCTGAATGCGGCAGCAGTGAAAGTGGTACTTGCAGTCCAGCTCCCAGTGATTCCGGATCAATGTGGCGTCCCTGGTGAATGCGATAATGACAGTAAGGTGCTATGAGAAGCACCGGTCTTAAATTGAATCAATTCGCCAAAATGTCGCATGGTTTGAAAACCCTGGAAAGGTTATCCTCTTTCAAAGGAAACTGATTTACACGCTAGCAGCAGCAGAAAAAAAACCAACATCAACAACTGGAGAAGTTGTTTAGAGCCTGGAAACAGAGGGCTTCAAGAAAAATTACAAAAAAAAATATTTTTATATGTTGAAAAAATGAGAAAAATAAAAAATTGAAAGAATTAAAAACAAATATTTTGTCTTGATTTTTTGGGGGTTGAAAGGGAAATTGGGTTATGGGAACGTTTTTGGGACTCATCTAAATATTGTAAATCATCTCAAAATTGCTTATGGCAAATTCGGGTATTATTTGGCTAAGAGCACTCTATCAAATTTATTTTATGCAGAATGTTCTGAATAATAAATTTCCCTAAATGACTTCTAGAGAGTTGATTAGAAGGCAAGAGTTGGAAGGTCGTAAGATATTATAGCGGTAGGTGCGACTGATCTTAAATTGCCAGCAGGAACTTTGTATTAATAATTTAGAATCGATTCCTTTGTGTTTGAGTTTAGCTTGGGAAGATTGTAATCATTCGAAACTTGATAGATTAAATTTCGAAAATTCGTAAACAGGACTGTTTCATCCGGAATTCAAAATAATGGATATTCTCAGATACATCGATGAACGCCTATGGATGTTATGTTATGTTTGATCGCTGGACTCTGATGCAGTATTTTTCAAGCTTTTAACAGCTAAATCTAAAGTATATTCCCTCAAAATACTGTCTCATAAGAGGTTGGCAATTTCAGCAGCACCTCTCATTGCAAGTACGAGATTACGAATTAAAACAATGATGAACTTTAAAGTTGAGAATATCTTCTTTTGATCCGATTCGGAAATTGTGATATACTGGTTAAAAACTCTTCCTTCTAGTCCGGCCACAAAATCCAGCCGACAGTGTCGATAGGATGAAGTGTAAAAGAACTTAAATCTTAAATATAGGTCGAAAGACCTAGGTTTTTCGAAAATCGATGCGCGCATATGTTTGTTGTTTTAATGTTAATTTGCAGTACTCTGATGTACTATCTTGCAGACTTTTAACAGCTAAATTTTAAATAGTTTCCCTCAAAACAATGTCTCTTCCGAGATTAGAGCTCTCAGCAGCAGATCTCTTGGCAAGTATTTGGTTACGAATTAAATCAATGATGACCTTTGAAGTTGAGAATATATCTGATGCGGAATTTTTATTATGTTAATTTGAAGGTTGTTGTTTTTATGTTAATTTGAAGGACTCCGATGTTGTATCTTCCAGAACGTTTACATCTAAATCTAAAGCAGTTACCCTCATTGTATCTTCCGGGATTGGCTGTGGCATATATCATGACAAATATTTGGTTACGAATTAAACGGCTGCTGCATATATCATGGCAAATATTTGGTTACGAATTAAACGAATGATGAACTTTGAAATTGAGAATATTTTCATTTGATCCGATTCGGAAATTATACTATACTGGTTAAAAACGCATTCTTTTTCTTCAAAAACGGTGGTTAAGGGGAAATTGGCCCCTTGTGGCACCTAAACTAAATCTTTTTTGGACTACATGACAGTCAACAGCCACTTCGATTTCACAGGGGAGTAAACTTCATTGAAAATAAGAAAATCCAAACTACTACTGCTACCGAAAAGTAAGACGTAGAACCTGTAATTAATAACTTTTTAAAACCCCTTTCCCAAAGTGTTCTAATATATATTCCGATTTGTGGATCATGTTAAGAAACAAAATATCTCCGCCTCAAAGCCTATAAATTAAATTTGTCTTTCCTTAATTTTATTGAGGTGGTTCAAAAAATTCCGATTTGTCGATCGAGTTGAGGAACGAGCTCCCACCTCTGGCTACGTCGTTGGTTCGATGGGTGTTAACACATATTATGCCTTAGTGTTAACACATATTATGCCTTAGTTAGGTGCGGAATATTCTTTTAAAAATCAAGCGAATAAGGTTACCCGTAGAGCTAACAATCCACGATTATGGCTCTGTATAGGGTCAAAACAATCTCAACAAACTGTATGAAAATTATGGTGGATATATCTTTTCCTACATTTTGACCCACATTTTTTAGTAAGGCACTACACGAACCCTCACTATAAAATGTTAATTCTAATGATGACGAAATATGTAGTTTTTGATAGCCAAAACAACAAAATGTCTTTATCAAAAATAGTAGTATAACAATTGCGTCAGAAAACTAAATTCGAATCCACTTCTGGTTGATCAGAAAAACGTATGTTTTTTTAATTACTAACGACGTAGTACTAATGACGTGGTAATGATGATCGTGCCCCTGTGAATCATCTCCGCGTTCGTTCTAATCAGCAGTGATTGCCTGATATCAAATTTATCACTGGCCAATGGTTTTGTTTCTTTTTTCGACTAAATGACGAATTAACTGAGTCAGATTTTTTTATGTCTAGCTAATTAAATCAAAACAACATTGTGGTAGGTTACCCCCTAACCACTTCCTCCTCCCCGCTACCTTGGAACTTTCATTGGCGGAACTTTTAAAGATAATTTCTTTCTCATCTCATGGAAATGGTGGAACTTAAGAAGATTGATTGTTTTTTTTTCGGGTGGGAAACATTTACTTCCTTGGCATACATGCCGGATACAATATCAAAAACCAGACTATCAAATGTCGTGCCAAGACTTCTTTTTTCTGTTTGTAATATGATTATCCATTCAATTGAATTGAATGATGATGGCGGCGGCGGCGGCGGCAGCGTCGGTATAAATTTGATTTTGGTTCCCATGATCCCCGGATGGTGATAATATTAATGATAATTATGTCAAACACCATGAATATGATAATGAAGATCATTGATCATCTTAATTAAGTTACCATCAGCATCAGCACCCCAGTACCATCATCACCAACAACATGTCCATCTTCATTAATGTTCATCATCATCCTCGTCGTCGTAGTCGTCATTGTGATTATCAAAGAAGCTTCCTCAGAAATGATTATTAGGCAACCGACAAACCCCTTGATGACAATGTTGTAGTTACTGACTTTTCTTCTTCGTCGTCTTTGTGGAAATTCTGATTTAAAACAATTTGAATACAACAGCACCAAGCAACAACACAAACCAACCACAACAATATCAAAAACCATCTTCTCTTGGTTGGTAACAAACATTAACATATCTCTTCCAATGCGCCGTCCGCCGCTGCAACATCAATAAAACTAAGCCAACAGCAAGCCAATCACAAGCCCAATACCCGAACCCCAACAAACAACCCATTCCAGCCCATACTAAGAGGAATTGCGCCGCATTGTGCATCCCATCTCAATCCAATCCCAGTGGCATATTGAGCGTGTGCCATTCATTGTCATGTAACAGCATCCCATATTTACAAAACGTAGATGTGGCCCAAACACGGACCCGACCCGATCTACCAACCCACCCCTCTTTCCGCCATACAACAACAACAACGAGAACAAAGTCATCTTGTCTTGCAAGACCGTGGCTTAAGAAACCCAAGCACACACACACATACATGCAACACATCTTAAAGGTTTCCTATTGAAGAAGAAATGGAGGGAGGTAGGTAGGCTTCAGACCGTTGTTGATGATGATGATGATGACGAAAAAAACTACAACAAAGGTTCCAATAAACCGGATTTAGTAATAAAAAAGCTAAAGACTTTGTACATCCCGAACAGCAGATTATCTGGGCATTTTTTTCGAAAACCATGTCTGTCCGTTTTGAACGACCGTGTGACCGTTCAAAAATACTCCATCATCATACGGTATGTCTAATATTAAGGTTGTTGTAATCGCCAAGCTCCACAGTGATGTGAAGAGAGAAATATTCTTTAAAAAATCTGAGACTCTGGTTAAAAAATATACATTAAATTTTCAAGCGTCAAGCATCCAATTTCTGACCCCTTGAAAAATATCGTTTAAAAATTCCAATTTATGACCCATTGAAAAAAATCTATAAAATCAACTTCTGACCCCTTGAAAAAAATATTCTTTAAAAAATCCACGCCTATGGGTAGGCTTGAAAAATATATTCCACGGCTATGGGTGGGAATGAAAATATTATTTTAACAAATCCACCCCTATGGCTAGGCTTGAAAAATATTTTTTAAAAAATCTAGGCCAATGGCTAGGCGCGAAAAATATTTTTTTTTAAAAATCCACCCATACGGCAAAGTTTGAAAAATAGTTAAAAAACAACTTTAATGGCTGGGCTTGATATTTTTTAAATCCACGCTTAAGGCTAAGCTTGAAAAATATTTTTTAAATCCACGCTTAAGACTAAGCTTGAAAAATAATATTTTTTAAAATAAGATATAAAGAAAATATTTGCTTGTGACTCCGATACAAATTTTCCCCCATTCCCGCCATGAAACCACTGTTCCCATTTGTTGATTGTCGCTGGGTGTTATGGATTTACCCTTCATTATGTTACCATGAGCTGGCTAAGTGAGAGCAGCGGCGGAACTCGACATAGTAGATCGTGTTCATAATCATTGTAATGTTAGCCCATCAAGTCTTCCGCAGAAGAAGGCGACCGTGGCCGCCGTCATTCAAGCTACTTCTCACCATTAGTAATCAAAGTTTTTGGCGTGTGAGCGCGCGAATGAGTGCTGGGCGATAGTTGTGAGCCATGGCTTGGATTGGATGACTTGACTAGCTGTGGCGGTGGGTTTGCTTTGGGTACTTTGTACCGGTGTGTGTTTACAATGTTCGCCATGGGGTCCCCCGTTTCGGTTTGTTTATGGCATGGGATCGTTTTCTGTTTGCTTTTTTTCTGTGAGTCTATGTGTGTGTGTTTGTTCACAACAAGCCCAGAAGAGCCTGTGGCCCCTTTTTAATATTGAAGTCAATGTGACTGGATGACGACTGACGACTTGTTGCAGCGCTGACTGTTTGTCTTTGCCCTGCATTGGGCTCTTCTGTATTTG